ATATTTTAAAGTTAAACGGTAATCAAAATTGAACCTTTATCCGGTCGATGGCGTGGCGGTAGGACTAATCCCGTGCGGGAGGGATTAACGCGTGTACGCAGCGATGTAACAAGGCTTAGACGTGCCTAGGCTTATTATTCTTATTTCGGAACATACCGCCCGCCTCGGATCTTATGGATCCGACCAATCATCTTACAGCAAAAAGAGAACAAGAAAACATACAAGACTATCGTTAACGTAAATAAGGATGCCGCCCGCCATACGAAATATTTACAATCTTATAATCTACAATATATACAGACTTAAATCTAAGACGCCGCCCGCCAAACGCATGGTTACAATATTATGGTATTTACAAGAGGATTAGCACACTGTCGATTTCTCATGGGTATTGATGTCGACGGGTAGAAAACAGAGTTTCGTAATAGATCGCCGATATTCACTTTGTGCTGTCTTCACGGTAACGACGCGAGTGATCCCGTCGGATCCGGGATGGCAGTGCGTTATTCGTCCGAGTTCCCATTTGCAGGGAGGCGCGAGAGGGTTTCGAATTAAAACGATACGCCCAGGTTTCGCAAGGTCGGTTCTAGTACGCCATTTCGGTCGCTGTTGTAACGTGTGTAAATAATCCGTAGACCAAGCTTGCCAAAAGCTCTCGTTCATTTGTTTTATTAATTGCCATCGTGACAATCGTGTTTCGCGGACATCTAATAACGTCGGTGATGGTATGGCATTCAGAGCGGAGCCGATGAAGAAGTGACCAGGTGTTAGTGAAGTATAATCATCATAATTATCGGATACCGGAGCGATCGGACGTGAATTTAAGCATGCTTCGACTTGGCAAAGCAGTGTTGTAAATTCTTCGAAGGTTAGTGTATGTGCACCTATAACACGTTTGAGATGGTATTTCACGCTTCGAACTCCAGCTTCCCACAGCCCTCCGAAGTGAGGAGCGGAGGGAGGAATAAAATTCCAGGTGACATGCTCACTGACCAATCTATTACGGAAATCTGGATTACGTATCGCGA